AAAAAATCACAAAAATAATTCACCAGATAGTAACAAACACGTTGAAAAACCTCAAATAAATACATTTTTTCAAAATCAATAGTGCAATTTTTTGTTAACCCCAGGATGGAAAGACAGCCACTACATCTGCTGACAAATACTTTTTACCGATTGCTATAAGGCTACTATACTGTGCACTATACTATACTGTATATAAGGCTACTATACTGTGCAAAACACAGTGTTTTTTTTATATTTTTCTTCCAAAGAGCCAGATTTTCTTGTCAGCGGTTATCCAGGCTACTGAAGGTCTTTTAAAGTTTGTCTTTGGACACTGGCTGCTTTTTCACTCATTGTCAGTCTCGTTCTTGCACCTGACTATTTTTAGATAATTGTTTGTTTGACAGGCATAATATTTTGGCACCACCAGGGTGATTCCCAAAGATTAATCTGCCAAAAACGTGGCATGTCTTGTCATGGTGTACAATGTTTTGAAGAGACTGCACAAGCAGAGGACAAAAGAAGAAGTAGCTGGTCTAGAAAATGATTTACAGCAGATGAACAGTATCTGAAAGTAATCTTCTACAGAAACAGGAAACAGTGCTACTGTGTTTTACAGATGGCTGTAGCTACTTACATCTCAGCTCCAAACCACGGGGGGTGGTTGATTCTATTTTGGTGATTCCATCAACTAAAACTGATGGAAACATGAACACAGAAAAGCACTGTCAGAGTTTGATCCACCATGCACTAACATCTGGGCAATTGTGTGATTGTTAAAATGCCCAAACAGACAACAACAGACTTTGTCTGCCGTCTTTGACACCACAGCACCATCTGCTGCCAAGAAGGTAAGTTCAGGTAGGAAACTGGGGACAAAATGCCGCTTTACATCAGTTATTCACGCCGCATTTCATTTCTTTCAGTGGCTGCATGTGCAGTTTTTTCTCTTAATTCACCTTCTCGTTTGTGTGTATGAAGAAACTTCCAAAGGGAACAATATTAACTACAAAAATCTTACATAAACTGCTCGTGTGTGTCCACTAATACTAGCCTTTGACGCATTCAAAATGTTTACATTTACTTCAGGAGATGTTGGTCACGTGGCTGTTTCTTCTTCGTCTTTTTTCTTGAACAGAAATTAAATGTAAATGTGCTGGAAACTTGTATCTTTGCTATGCTTACAAAAATGTATATAAAAAAATAATATATAGATAATTTCCCATGCACTAACAGAGCCTGTAAGCTAGTTTATATATGAAGCTAATAAGCGACCCTAGCACGTGCATAACATCCCGCGGCCACCAGAGGGCCTCCTAGAGACGCGACGAGATGGGGTTGTGGGTGGATTCATGCTGACATAAAGTTTAAATAAAAAAAGAAACACTGTAGATCTAAACGAGCTTATTGGTTAATAGTATGGCAAATAAACTGCCTTATATTTAAATGTTATGCTAATCATGGTTTATTAAGCATAACCAAAGTGCCTCTGAAGTAACATTTTTGTGCCCTTATCGTAACACTAATTATTATAAGTCAGTATTAATCATATGATTAATAGCTGCAGCAAATCAAGCATTCAACAATGATGTAATGAATTAATGGAACAATTGATATAATTTTTATTTTTAATAACAAAAAATAATCCCATTTCCTGTGACCTTAAACTGAGTATAAAAGAAAGAAATATGATCCATAATTTATTAGTCATGATAATTGACACACTTAAGTCAATTCATTAAGTCGTGTTCTGTTTGTCAGTAAGCATAGCTGCTGATATTTAAGGCACGATGCTGATAGTTATTGAGGTTTTACATTTTTATGTGCATGCGTTTTCAGTAAGGGAAGATGCTGATGTGTAAAGGTTTATACCACCAGATGGAGCACTTTACATTCTGTTGCTGGAAGCAAGAGTTGTAACCAGAAAAACGAATTTCATTTTTGTGACCTAATAAATATCATGAGTTTTATCACTGATGTTGGAAAATTTAAAAAAAACAAAAAATGAATAAAGACCAAACAAAACGGCATGCATTTTTAATTTCTCTTTGATATTTGGGTTGACTGGGATCTGATGAATGTAAAAACAAAGAATTGCCAGATTTTTTTTTTTTTTACCTAATCTTTGTTTCTAAGAAAAATGAGGGCCACATATGAGGATATTCATATAACATTTTGATAGAACAGTAGCAGTATAATGTCCTCGTAAGTGGATATCAGGCCCTTGTAGAGCAAAATTTAGTATTTTGGTCTAAATAACCCAAAATGTGACGTCCACATATGTGGACGCAGGTCCTAGGAGGTTAAGCACTGTAACAATTTTATATGTGCTTTCATTTTATGCTACTTTTTACTTTAACTCCATTAGATTTCAAGAAAGTTCCTTTCACTCAATTCCAGACCAGGATGTCTCATAAAAAGTTCCAACTTTGTCAAGTACAACGTTCAGATTTTGTTTGATAATCTAAGAGTAAATACGGGTAACCCTGCAGCCTAATAAGAACATTGTTTGGAGGAACGGTTTTGGACTAATGCTTAAGAGGTTGGAGAATAATTTATTGCTTAAGTACTAGTATATATTCATGTTAAAACATCATGTCAAGGACCTGAATTCAAAATTTCTACTGAAAATACAAACAAATATATATCAGCAAAACATAAAGTACACAAAGCCCTCAGCCTTCAGACACACTATTATTTTTATTATTATTTGATGGTCCAGTAATGGTTAGTCGTTAGATTAACCATTCTGATACAATTGTATTCAATTCTTTAGGCCTTTGTTTGTTTGTTTTGCTTTGTTTATGGTTTACCTGGGAACTCCAAGTTTAATGTTTAATTGCTTGTTTTACTTAAAGGGACATCACATTTACTATATATAACCCTAATCTGACTGTAACAAGGAAGTTCAGCTGCATTAGCTTCATTGTAGTTGACAGGTTTATTCAAAGCTTATATATTTATCTGTGAGTTAGGTCAGTGTGGGTTTAGCCTAGCTTAGCATGAAGACCGAAAGGGAAAAAAAAGTTATCAAAAATATGAAAAGTATTCTACTCTCTGTATCTATGAAGCGCCTTGAGGCAACTTTTGTTGTGATTTGGCGCTATATAAATAAAATTGAATTGAATTATTCAAATTACACTTCAATAATTTGAGTTCTATATTCCATAAGAACTTTTTTTTTTTTATCAATTATTAATGATAAAAGCTCAACATTTATCACTATCAATCGCCCTATGACAGCTGGGATAGGCTCCAGTGCCCCCCACAACCCTGAAAAGGAGAAGCGGAAGCAAATGGATGGATGGATGGATTTATCACTGCTATCAGCTAATTCTTTTACTATCATTTTTCCTGCATATAAGTCATGCTGAAGCTAAACTACAGTTTGTTATGGAATTACAGAATAAATATCTACTTTTTGTAAAAGATATTTTTTGTAATTTAACCTGCTGCTTAAATTGTGAGGAGGAATTTAGTCATTACGGTGCACCGCGGCTAATTGTTAAACACCTACACCAGAACACCATCACCAAATAAGAGCATGGTTGTGACCAGTCACAATGCAAATGAATACACAAACACACTTTATGAAGTACAGGGTTAATTTACTTCATTTAAGCCATTGTCTTATTTTAAAAAAAAAAATAATAATTTAAAAGGTGCTGGAAATGCCAGCACCCATTTCGTTTCTGCTTTAGTGTCTCTGAGCATCTTTCTGGACATACTTCGACTCCTACGATGAGAAACCTTATTAAAACACTTACATGTCACGTTTTGGTTTTTATTATAAGACTATAAAAATATACAGAATTATAAACAAAGATTGACAACGTTGGAAAAAAGAATCTTTATTTGGAAACATTATGGAGAGCAAACAAAGAAAAAAAAAGATCTTTTAGAGTTTTTCCATTTCTGAAAATCATTTTTATTTACTATAATACAGCGGATGTTAAAAGTCAGTTGGTTTGTACACCGGTGTGATTGGATAAAGGCAGATCTTATTGGGAAAAAAAAAGGTAAATTAAAAGAAGAGTCGATTGATTGATGGAAAACTACAGACGAACTTAGTCTTATATCATCTAGCAGCTGAACCCCACCCTCCCTCAGCCCTGCCCCCCAGGAAAAACACTCTCACACTCTCTCCCAGCCTCACTTATTCACTTGCTTCAATGTGCCCTTCAAAATCCTCCTCTGTCCAAAATCATAAAATCTGTAAAGTAAGGGTTTGGCTTCCGCTCTGAATATTTTCTTCCTTTAGCACACCTTTAACCTCATCGCTCACATCTCAGAAGAAAATATTTGCCCCATTATAGATGCAGGTCTCCTTCAAAGTGCCCTCTCAATCAGACCTGCGATGTGAGGTTAGACAGGCGTTTGGCTCCATTCCTTTCCCCTCAGTAAAACTTGTTTTATCTCAAGGTCATATGCAAAACCAATCATCTAAGTTGGTTCTGTTAATTGCATAACTGTCCACCATTAAAAACATGACATTTTTAATGTCTAACAGACCAGTTTTTTGAGCACCGACTAAAAAATAACAAGACTTGCTTTACAAAGCAGTGAGCCATTATGAGGTCTGAAAAGAGTGCAACGAGGACACAGAAGGAGACGGGCGTCCAAAACAGGACAAAACGACATTATATCACTGATTCGTCTCTCAATGCTGACATTCACTGAGGGGATAATGCTCGGCTGTAGCGCTGGAGAAGGCAGCAGAAAGTGCAGAGAGGAAGTTCATAAAAGTGGGTTAAATTATAAATGAAAGTACTTTTTAAAAGGTTCTTCAAAAAGGAAAAAAAAAAGTTTATTAAAAGTGAATTAAAAATGATGAGGAGCACAGCAGCTGCACGTGAGCTGGACATTTTAGTGGAAGTCTCAGGTTCACCACAGTAAAACCCATTAAAAATAGACATTTTCAGTTCAGTACCTACACCGACATTCACTCTGTGTCTGCTCGTCAAGCTCACTGACAGTTTTTGGCTGCTGCTTTTAAACTGAGGTTATTTCTGCTGCCTAAAATGTGTTTCTGTCCATCTGAATCCATGTGCTGCACCATTAACAGGAAATTTAACCTGCCTTAAACCTGTATCTGTCATCCTCACAGACAGCCACCACAAACAACACATCTGCCTAGCTTTTTAAACACACTCAAAACAAATATTTACATATTATTTTGTATAAATAGATAAACTAATTGAGAGTACCATTAATATAGACTTTATAATTACACACTACAGAAGCATTTTAGGGGCTGATTTAGCACACGACCTGGAAAGATGTTGTTTTTGGTGCCAATTAAATTTCCAAATAAACCAAATTAATATTCACTTACTGTTTATAAGACACAACTATATTCTATAAAAATTGAAATGACCTGCACACATATATTTCTGACTTTGCTGGCATGGCATGTGCAGATTAAAAGTGTGGCTATTTTCTTTATTGTTCCTAACACATCAACAGTAATGGATGCATTCAGATTTAGTCCCCCCGACTACAAAAATAGTTATTTATTAAATACTGTAACTATTATGTAGTACGTAGCATTATTTTATTGGCATATTTTAATTACAAAAAGTGCAATATATACCTTTAAAATGTAATTGTTCGCTTCATGAGAATTTTATTCCAAATTGTTACCAACTTGTACGTTTCAGCTCATGGAAAAGCTTAGAAATGATTATTACACAGCAGACAGGAGAACTTGGATCCAGATGGACAGAAGACCAGAAATAAGGAGTTCGATATCCTCTACGGGGCTTTATGTTCAGCACGAGAGGCTTCATTTATGTGCCTCCGTCTCCCTCAGTGTGCCGCAGACGAAGAAAGCAATGAGATTTTTATTTGTGTGTGTGTGTGTGTGTTGGACAGGTCAAAGAGGAGTTCAAAACTAACCATCTGTTATCAAACCCACTCCCATCCCCTGTGTAAACACACACGCTCTCATTCACACTCACACACCACCCAAACCACAAAGAAATATGATTATAGCTTCTGACAGATTATAGTCCAGTACCCCGTGGTAGTTCACTAAATCAGCAACTTCTGCTGCTGATATTTTTTTAATATATTTATATATACTTATATATACTTCTTTCCTCTATTTAGGGAAAACTATATAACCAAAAATATGATATTAAGTGTTGATTTCTTGCATGGCGGAAAAAGAACAAAAAAACCCCGAAAATGTTTTCTGAAACGTTCCCGTTAACCCAAAGAGATTCAGATAAAACAATGCAAATCTGAACAGGAGCTCATTTAGTTTCATTTCTTTCTTTTTTTTAACGTTAAAGCTCTTTTTTTTTCACTAAGTGGCAAAAACAGAGACATGCAAACTTTTGATTTCAACAAACCAACAGAAACAGGAGAATGAAAAAAAAATGGAAATGAAAAGATGTGAAGCATCCTCTAGGAAGTAAGCCCAACATGGAAGACGCCTCCTTGAACCGAACAGGTCCAGAATGCATCGCAACGTAGTGGTTTCCTTATTCATGTGCCATCGTCGAGGGGTTGCCGTCCCTTCCGATTGAGAGGCGGTGCATTAACAGTTTGAGGCTCTATGGAGACACTCAGGAACAGTTAGTGTGACGAATCGCTCACATGGAGCATCACAAATCCACAAAGTCCACATTCTCCGTTCCTTTTTCCCTTCTGAATCCCCTCCTTCCCCATGATGGGAAGGTACAAAGTGGCTGCGATACAAACCACAGGGCAGTTCACACAGATACACCATCACACACATCATCAGCATCATCACACAAACACACAAGCTGGGTCGATATCTGACGTTACAAAAAATATTTTTGTTTTAAAAAAATGAAAATAATGGAGAGAAAAAAAGAGCTAAGCAAACAGACATGAAATTGGCATGTGGACTTTTGACACAAATCGTGCATGTGCTGTCCTTGACGAGGGTCAAAGTTCATGTAGCGGGAAGGGGGTTCTTTGTTTTTTGTTTTTTTCTTTCTTTTTTTGTCATTTAGGATTTAAAAGTGAGAGCGCACCATCTCCCACCTCACCGAAACTGAAAAGCTCTTCTACAAGGCTTTGACTTCATCTCGCGCCCATGAGTGTGTTTGACCTTTAGTGTCTTGTTGATCCCTCCTTCCTTCTTATGAACGGGGTCAAACAAAAGAAGAAGAAATGTTTTCCTGTGCTGAAACCTGCAGGAAGACTGAAATCCTCACAGTCAGCATGTGTGTTAGTCAGGTAGCCGGTCAAGTCAGCTAATGAGTCCGCCAATCAGTCCGTATCAGATCGTTTCACATTTGAGTTGCAGTCGCAGGGATTCAACTTCCCTTTTCTCTTATCTCGGAGCGGGGATGAGGAGGGCGGTGCTTACTAGGGACTTCTGGCCCCCAATGTGCTATTCCGTCTGGGTTAAAGGTAGGAGTGTGTCCTGGGATCCCAAGAGTCTGTGTCTGACCCTGTGGAACGATTAGTGTTGTCACTATGTGCCAAATCAAAGCGGTTCATTCGCCGTTTTCAGCTTCTGTATCATGAAGGGGGGGCAGTCAGATACAAAAATTAGTTCCAAAAGGTGACGTGCGATTGTAATTCTCTAATCCAGGATTTTCCTCACAGGATGAGCAGGTCTCACAGATTAGGTTTGATCCAACAAATGGTCGACGCGCCTCTAAACCCCCAAAGCTCATTCACCTCCAAGTCGATGACAAACAGCAGCTGATGAATCCCCCGAAAATCAGCAACCAGGTTGTTTTATTTTCCATTTTTATGAGCCCGCCAGCTATTTGTAGAGCAGAGGATGACCTGCAATTGTCGGCCGTAAGCGGCTGGCAGCGCGGGCAAACAACCACCCTCCACTTCACTTCCCAGCATGCTCCTCTGGCTCTTATATGAGCGGGTCAGGGGGCAGGGTGTGCTGGATCTGCTGTGGCTGCAGGGGGGGCGGCAGCTGCAGCGGCAGCAGGGCCTCCACCATGTTGTGGCAGTGCGGGGGCGGTGTCCCTTCGCTGCTGGAGCTCTCGGCCACCTCGCCGCCGTGGAAGAAGTAGTCGCTCTGTACAATGAAGGACTCGATGACGGCCTGGTTCAGCTTGGTGGTCGACAGCGTGTCCTTGTTCTCGAAGTCGGGCCGCATGAGCGTGGGCCAGAAGCAGATGGACAGATTGTCGGCTGTCATCAGGGTTGTTTTGCTATGCTGGCTCACTCTGCGGGGAAATAAAAAGGTTCAAAGTTAAATCAACACTGGAAACAACAGCTCCAGAAAACAGGCGGTCTGAGGTGACAGCATGTAAGGAAATGAAAAATACTTTTTATTTATTCTTTAACTGCTAAAAACATAAGAAAGCAGATAAAGGTTTGTCAGTTAAAGTGGACGGACTCGTGATGTTCATTTCATTTTTATTCGTGGACTCTAGAGTGGCTTAGCATGATTCACAGTTCAAAATAATCCTTATTAATTAAATAGCCAACTTCCTTCCGACTGACTGCTGCTCATAAACAGAAGGTTTAAACAATAAGTGGGTGGAGCTTGTTTGAAACAGCATATAGATGACAGGAAAGAAGGAAAAGCATAACGGTTTGTCTTAAAGTTGTCATACTCTGCTTGGTTACTGTACCTGTGTGCAAAATTACCAACGAACCAAAAGCCATGCATTGGGATTTTAGCACTCCATGATATTAACACATACCTCGCTATATTCTCTATAAAGTGGGAACAATGTGGGACTCTTATATCACATTTAAATGTATTCAGTTACTTAGTGAGGAGCTATTGCAACATTCAGTAAATTTAGTAAGACCATTCTAACATGATTTATGCCGTTTCACTGCTTTTCACTCATTTGGGGGATAGTCTGGTTCCTTTGAAGTGGGGTTACGTGAGGTACACGCTCACTGTCAGTGTGCTATCTTCAGCAAATGGCAGCAGGCGTGCTCCCAAGCTGACAGGAGCACCGAATGGCGCAGGAGCAGAGAAATGTACAGCTGTGAACAGAATCGAATGCAAAAACCCCACTTTTCCGAGGCACTGTTTTTGTCAGTGGAGCTCGGTGCTTATTAAGAGAACGACTTCTTTCTTAGTGTGTTTCAAACTTTGACAGCTGCTGTTCCATTAAGCTGAAGTGTTCCTTTAAACTTCAAGATATTATTTGCTGGTTTACTAGTGCTGTGTAGCGAATGGTGCCGGAGACATGGATAAAAGCCACATTCTGTGATGGAGTGACGACATCACTCAGCATGAGGAATGTCTGCACTTACCGATGCATTCCTAGTTTAATGTCTTATTTGCAGCTTTTGCTTCATGTTGTGTGAATTTTATTTTCTCTTTTTTTAATTTTCAACCGTCTGTGTCGCAGAAACTGTCAATTCATCACAACTTGTGTCCTCCCCAAACTTAATTTTTGGGATTTGCATGTCGTTGCCCAGCTTCAGGGTGACTTAATTTCAGCACTTGGTAGAAAAACCGTCCCTCTTAAAGCTGCTCTGCAGTCTGTGTCTGTTCACCATCACCCTGTGTTGCAGCTACAGGCTGTAATAGTCTCTCATCTCATGTCTCGCTTAATGTTAGGTCACCTTGTCCGCCTCTTATATTAGTCATGGGTGTTGTTTTCATGTCGGACATTTTCCCTCTTTATTTATGTCACAGGATGACATGCTGTTTAATTCAAATGTGTTCAGGTTCTCTCATATGACTCTGACCCTTTGAAACTTTTTTTAAGTCTTGCCCACAAACACCAAACCATAAAGAAGCTCTAAAAATACAAAAATCCTCTTGCATGACGACCAATGAACCTCAAAGCTCTGAGAGAAATGTTGCTGCTGTCTCTACATTAACAGTGAAAGCTAACAAATTAAGTAATGATCACTGGATGTCAACAAAACTAACACAGAACCAGAGAAGAAGACAAACATTTCACTCCTGTGTGTTTTATCCATTAACTGTAGCCCTACCATTCACTAGATGTCATCTCTGACCATGTCCTGTCAGTCACGATCGATATTTGGCACAAAATCAAACTTTGCTTGATGTTTCAGATTTATACTCGTTCTTTATCTGCAAACTGTGTAGACATTTGCTAAGAAATAATTAGCATTCAGTCGCCGCAGCAGTTACAAAGTACAGCTGTGGTCTCAACTCAAAGGAAGTTAAAATTATATCTGCAAGCGGCTCTTTTCAAGTTTAAGCGATGCGTTCACTGTCACCACAGGTATACAGGCATTTTGACTTTGAAGCTTGCAAGCATTTCACTTTAAAAAAACATGGATAAAGAACATCACACACAAGAGGGAATGTACTGTGTGTGTGTGTGTGTGTGTGTGTGTGTGTGTGTGTGTTGCCTTTCATTTTTACCTGTTGAGGTGTGTGATGATGTATTTGAAGACCTGGTAGTTGACGGGAGGAAACTTTTTCACAATCTCCCGCAGTGCCTGCAGACGCTCCATGTAGTCCATGATTTCTAACACAGACAAACACACACACACACACACACACACACACACACACACACACACACACAGAGAGAGGGAGAAAAGACACAGAGCGTTTTACATTTTACACACAGTCTCTCTTGGGAAAGGAAATTATACTCCATGGAAAACAAAAGGCTGAAACGCTGCCAAAAGCAGCTCCCACGCTGTGAACAAACAATGCACACGCAACCACACACACAACAACACTAAACCTTGTGGGCAGAAATAAAACTAGCCTTCCCCGTATAAGGTCTAACTGTGCACTGGTTAAGACAAAACAGATCAGCCTCTGCAGATTAGGAAAACAAACATTTGTTCTCAACTGTTCAGATTTCAGGGGAGAAAAAAAGAAACACAGCATCTGATTAAAGAGCCAGTAATCATAACTGAGGCACAGAGCTGGGCAGAAACACACTGGGCAGCAGCAGTTTCCCTCCCATATGTTCAATAATTCTTCACTGTCACCTGCTTGAACTATTATTTGTTGCAAGATGTTATGTCTCATTACCCAGACAGGTTTGATGACTAACCATAGCTGTCACAGAAGCTTATCATCAGATGCAGCAGGGACCACACAGTTATTTATTAGATCAATGTGCAATTTAAGCGATTTCAAACCCCAGCCTCCTTTTTGAAGGAATTTCCTGAACTTTCCACAGTATCAATCAATTCCTTTTTCTGATTCCGCCTCATTTTATGTCTTTCTAACTTCAGCAAAGTTGAAAAGATCAGTCACTGTGGACTGATTAGCTGCACAAGCATCTACGGATTCATTTGCTATTAGGAAATCAAATATCAGCAATCTGTCTGATACCTGATAAGTTCACGCCACAGAGCTGCCAAACTGATTCGTCTGCAAAGACATGTCATTAACAATGGCAATTCAAAGAAACAGAGACAAATTATTATTGCTATTATATAACCAAGTATAAGACCAATCAGTTGAGAACGTATGACAGTTTAGAGACTGCGAGGGCTGTGCTATATGAAGCCTGAGGGGTGTATGTTAGTGAGGCTGTAAGACTTCCCCTGGATCACAGCATGTCTTTCACTGTACTCATCATCAGGCATCATTACCGTAAAGTGTAAGGCAATAAGCTTATCTTCTGTTTTTCTGACAATATGTCAAACAAGAGTATTTATTATTATTGAGTAAATTAAACTGCAATTAAAGGGACTTGTGAAAAAATGTTTCATTAGGACGATGGTGATTTTCTAAAAACTCTTTGATAGGATGCCAAAGAGGAAGAACCTGAGAACTCTGGTTACAAATGAACTTCCCTTCTGCACAGCAGGAGGAAATGTTGATAAATCATTTGGGTAGACGGGAGACAAAGGAAGAGAAAAGGGAATGACGTATAGCACAGGTCCTCAGCTGGAACACACAACTACACAGAACATCTGTATGCCTTAAACATTAGGCTTCAGGATGCCCCGCTTCTTCGCCTTTTCCCACAAAATTCCTAAGTGGAAAGACACAGTGTGTTTGTTCGCTACATGATGCATATCGTTAAAAGAGAAGAGTCTGGGAAAGTGTGACTTTAAGTAATCAGATTTAGCATCAGACCCTTATTTGGTTTAGTTAAATGTTAAATTTGATCAGGGAAAAAACAAAAAACAAAACATTACCAAGTAACAAGAAAGATCCTGCAATATTCCTAGAAGGTAATTTGTCTGTTAAATTCTTCAGTATTCCACAGCCTCTCCAGGGAAAGCATCACTTTCCTGCCGGCGAATGCTCAATGGAGCTGAAACGCTCCACTTACTTATTAAATATTTAAAGAGCAGATGTGAAATAAGAGCTTCTACCTTTGGATTGTCATAACAAGGCCGCTTCAACAAAACCCCTGCCTTTCCTATCTGGAATATTCTCCAGGATATTCCAGACATTCCAGGACCAGCAGGACGCCGTTTATATTTGTAGACACAAACATAAAGGCCAACGTGTGCCAATGCACAGATTTATTCATCCTGCACACCATCAATCATCCTAACGAGGAGCCAACGGGAGCCTTTGACCCTCTAATGGCTGGAAGAGGTTAAAGGTCGTTAAACGAATGCAGTCACAGCTCGACACAGTACACCACGGGACCGATATAACGACCGACTCCAGCTTTTATTAAATATATATAAGCCTAACAGCATCTCACAATGTATTTGGTTCAATAAGGCGATAAAGCTCAGTGTGCATGTGTGTTTAGGCGAAGCTTTGATGATCCCCATCGGGAAAAGACCCTGCTGCTCCAGGAAGCTATTGTCGTTGTTATTGTTGTTACGGAATGAAAATAAATAAAAGGATTATTAAAAATATGCTGAACAGAAAAGGCAGAAAGCCTAAATCAACTCTAGAACTGACTAGAAAAACTAACAGTTTCCCTTAAATGAGAAATTAGTGCAGCAGCTTGAAGCTGATCCAGGCAAAACTGCAAAGGCGAAGTGCTTATTTACAGGTAAATGTATTGTATGGCATTGTTTATGTTCACAGTCTTTTTTTTCCTTCTCTGATTACAATGTTTGGAACTTTTCCATGTGTCTTCATTCACTCTGTTATCACATCTATTCAACATGACCTGAAACCAGCAACAACAAAAGCCTGATTCAGGCTCCAGGATAAGTGCACTGGTGTCAAACCTG